TCCAAATGTAAGTATAAATGCAAATAATTATATCGTTATGAATATTTATAATATTTAAAATTTCTTTTGCGTTTAAAATAATTAGATAATATGAGCAAGCAAACAATTGTCAAAAAAGGAGAAGAGAAATGTAAAAGATATTTAATAATAATATTATTATTAAAATGCGTCAACAAATTGTGATTTAAAATCAATATTAAATAACATTACTAAATATCAATTATAAATAAGTTTTGAATATTATGTGCAATAGAATTCGGGCTTTCTTTTGAATCTAATACCACCCAATTCGATCAAGTATTTACCAAGATGCAAAAATATATGGTAATAGGTAAAGAGCGTTTTTTTTGGATTTTAAATACTTATATGCATTTTCAAAAAATCAAACTCGTTTATCATACAACTAGATAAAGCATTCATCAAGTATATTTTACAAACTTGCTTTCCAAGCCTTTTAGATCTCATCTGGCGTTGAATAATTAGTTTTAGAGAGATTCATAAAAAAAATAATGAACCCAAGTAATGGTAACATGGTTTTTTTTAATATTACCTATTTTTATATTAATATTGTATATATATATTTAGGAATGTAATAATTAGATTAAAAGGTATTTCTTTTTCCAAAGGTTAATGGTTGAACGAAATCATATTTTATTTATTATTAATTATGATATATTCTTGTAGATCTGGCGGTACACGATCAGAAGAATTGTTAAGTGGCCATATTTAATTATTTTAGAAAACAGGTAGAAAATTCAACATAGTTTGATATATTCTTGTAATAACAATTATACTATCAATTATTAATCACTTTTTTAGATCTGGTGGTGTACTATCAGTAAGAATTGTTATGCATCCATATCTTATTTATTATTTTTAGAAAGTAGATAGAAAATTCAACATCAAAAATTATAGTTGATATATTCTTGTAATAACAATTATACTACTAATTATTAATCACTTTTTTTAGATCTGGTGGTGTACGATCAGAAAGGATTGTTATCACATATAATAATAATATAATAATAACTAATTTGATTGTCATGTAACAATTCTTTCTGGTTCTAAAAAAAGTGATTAATAATTAATAGTATAATGTTATTACAAGAATATATCAACTATAATTTTTTAGAATGGGAACACGCAAACCAGCCTGCAGTAAGATTTCTATTTATTTATGCTTTCAATTTTAAAAAAAATTTTCTAGTCTAGTCTTAATACTTACATTACTTTCAAATCAATTACAATTCTGTTCAGAGATATGGAAAACTTCAAAC